GGTCCGCTGCTCCCACACCGACATGTGGTGCCGCCGTCGCCGCTCCCGCCTGCAATGGGGGACAGCGAGGGGTCGGCATCCCGGACACCCACCCCGCTGCTGGTGCTTCTCCGGGAGGGGTGGGATTGAATTTGGGAATCCCAGGGAGAAGGAAATGCTGTCCCCAGGACTACGGGCTGAGCTCCTGCCTTGCCCCCCGCCTTCCGGCATCCCTCTGGTGCTGGCAGGGGGTGAAAACGGGGCTGAAATGGTACTTCTGGCCCTCCGGAGATGTCAGGCTGATGGAGGACCAGCCCCAGCAGCCTCACAGCTTCCCTGAAGCTTTCGGGCATCACAGCCAGCTTGCTGGGAGCAGCCAGCACCCCAGCCTGCCCCAACCTAGCCAGGCAGCGGCCACCATCCCCTTGCACAGGGCCACCTCTTTAAATAAGGGCAATGTCCCCTCCTTGCTTTGCTAGCTCCTCAGAGCTGGGCTCCTTTTCAGAGCAACACCGCCTTAATGATGCAAACGAAGGTGCAGGGGACTGTGGCATGAGAGCCAGCTTGCCGGCAAGGGTGGTAGTCTGGATGGGATGGGGACAGTGAGTGAGAGGGGAAAAGACGCCAGGTACAAGACCTGCCTTTCTCAGTGACAGGTGGCTATCCAAGAGGGAGGATGTCACCAGTGCGGGAGGTCCCCTCCTTCCCTCTGCTCAGCTACACTCAGCTGGGACAGTACCTGGCCTGGCACATCCCGGGTTGGAAGTCTGTCCCAAGGAAAGGAGCTGTACTGGGCTCCTCTACCTTCTTGCAGGTGTGCTCTAGGGAGGGCTGTGCTGTGCCATGAAATCTTTGCAGTGCCATCGTGTGCTTATCCCAAGAACAAGTACAGGCTGGGTGGAGAATGGATTGAGAGCAGCACAGAGGAGAAGGACTTGGGGGTACTGGTTGAGGAGAAGCTCAACATGAACTGGCAATGTGCGCTGGCAGCCCAGAAAGCCAACTGTGTCCTGGGCTGCATCCAAAGCAGCGTGGCCAGCAGGTCGAGGAAGGGGATTCTGCCCCTCTGTTCTGCTCTGGTGAGACCCCACCTGCAGTGCTGCATTCAGCTCTGGGGTCCACAGTGCAGGAAAGACATTGGAGCTGTTGGAGCAGATATAGAGGGCCACAAAAACGATCAAAAGAATGAAACACCTCTCCTATGAGGACAGGCTGAGAGAGTTGGGGTTGTTCAGCCTGGAGAAAAGAGGCTCTGGGGAGACCTTCTAGCAGCCTTCCAGTACCTAAAAGGGCTACAAGAAAGCTGGAGAGGGGCTTTTTACAAGGGCATATAGTGATAGGACAAGGGGTGATGGCTTTAAACTGAAAGAGGGGGGATTTCGATTAGATCTAAGAAAGAAATTGTTTACAATGAGGGTGGTGAGGCACTGGACCAGGTTGCCCAGAGAAGCTGTGGCTGCCCCATCCCTGGAAGTAGTCAAGGCCAGGTTGGATGAAGCTTTGAGCGACCTGGGGCAGGGGGGTTGGAACAAGGTCATCTTGAAGTTCTCTCCCAACCCAAACCATCCTACGACTCGTTCTACGACAAACACACATACGAACACCCTGGTGAAGACAGACGTGCACTTCCCAACACACCGAGGCAAACGGAAACACCCGCGAGCACACGCGTGTGCGGACGACACACAAATGACACACAACCCCCACATACAGGTGGCTGCTGCGCGGCTCCCACATCGACATGTGGTGTCTCCTCCGCCTGTCTCTTCTGGGGAGGAAAAAACAAATGGGGTCAATCCCCCCTTCACCCTTCCTTTGCCTCAGAGGGGCAACGTGGAGAGGTGTCCACTGGCAGGGTGGGGGG